CATGACAGTGCAACGTGTAAGTCCTTGGGTCTCAGGGCAGACGTTAATTTCAAGGAATTTTATATATTTTTCATATCTCATTCTGTGTTGGGATTGTCGTTAAAGCAAACTTATATTTACTATAGCAATCGACGACACTACTCTTTTCGTAAATGAGTAGGTTTTCGAGACTACCAGTAAATCAGATATATGAGTTATGTTCCCCCTATTCCGTTTAAGGCGTAAAGGACTGGTAGTTTAATTTACTGACCCGATTTTTCATTTCGAATGAAATGTTGGTTTGATGCAATCGTTCAATTAGCCACTAATTCTGTGCTGAGCTGAAAAGTAACATTTACAAGAAGAATTCCAACCAAGAAATAAGAACAACGGTAATTGTTATACTTTATTGTTAGACCTAAACGATGCATATTTTGGTTTGGTTGTTTGCCTCACGGTTATCCTGTATGGTGTAGGCATGGAGACTGCTATGATCACATGGCTTTCATGCCTCAATTCCACAAACATATAAGGAATGCATGAAATTAACAATCAAAGCAACGGTCAAGATTGCAAAAGTGAGTACAAGAAGCGACCATGAGTACAGCCGAACACTTATTTCTTGATCTGATGTGTTTCGGCATAACCCCCATCTATCACATGAAAGAGAAATGCCCAACACGGAGACTTCGGGGTTGCAAGAAGCCGAGGCGAGCACATTCTCGCACAGGTCAGGGCCAATTTTACGAATCTCTTCTGGACAAATGTTCCTACGAAATTGAAAGTCACATCATGTTGGAAGACTTTGCTGAGGCGTCGGAACTGCGCTTGAAACGGTACAGCAACAAACGTCTTCGCTCCGAGGAAGTGACCATGGCCCAGGTCAGCGCCCGAGTACAAGTCAAAGTATGCTGTCTGGGAAAAAGCTTCTGGCACTAAATGCAAACTCGAGGCGGAGTGAGGGGATCGATCTGCTCCAAATTTAAGACAGCTGTGTAGGATGAAATGGAACGTGGGAAAATTGGGAAAAATCGATTACATGCATGTAGACTGCAATAAGGAAATGAAATTTGGCCTGAGTCGCACTGCATTGGCATAAAGTTGACCGCATGTAAAAGGTTGGTTGGTCTCCGTCGTAGACACCAGATGGGCCTCACGCCAAATGTGGCCTTGACCTACGGAACTAATGCGAAAATTCAGTTTAATGTTCGTCTGCTTCTCGAGAGCTCTTTGAAACCGGAAACAAAGGGCAAAAATTAAGAGTAATTAGGCGCCTGTTAATAAAATCTGCCAAACGGTCTGGAGAAAAAAAGCGTCTGGAATGGCACTACGATCTGTTATAAGATCTCAGAGTTACGTATAGCGGTTTAGTAATCGCATGTACAAACGCATGCGCACATACAATTGGATTAGTATAAAAATGAATATATACCTCTTTTGGCTCAGCTCGATTTGCTGTTTTCATACGTGCATATGCCATGTAAGCAAGAGAGAGAGTTAGTCTATTTGACTTTTTTTAAATAATAAGAAGACTTAACCCTGTCGTACATTTTTCAACTGGAGATTTGTTCTGCGTCCACAGGATCGTCAAAAAGAGAAATCAAAGGAGTTTAGGGCAATGGTGATCAAACGTTGTTTTATGGTGAGGCCGACTTATAAACATCTTCATGGATTAAAAATCAGCATAATAATTACGATAGGGGCAGAGGAATTAGTTGCTGCCATCTGGTGTATTTTTCGAGGTTAGCCTGAAAAATTGACCAAATTGCGAAACCAAACATACAAATCTGTTGTTGAATAGTTTTTAATAGACCGACCGACCGACCGACCGAGCGACTATAGCAGAATACTAAGAAACATGTGCGTTAAATAAGGTTGCTCTGACAACACAACC